GGGAAAGAGACTCAGCATGTATTTGGAGATGTTTTTATAGATTAAAAAATGAAAACAAGGGGCTTCCCTGGTGGTGCAGTGGTTGAGAGTCTGCCTGCCGATGCAGGGGACACGGGTTCGTGCCCCGGTCCGGGAAGATACCATATGCTGCGGGGCGGCTGGGCCCGTGAGCCATGGCCGCTGAGCCTGCGCGTCCGGAGCCTGTGCTCCGCAACGGGAGAAGCCACAACAGTGAGAGGCCCGCGTACCGCAAAAAAACAAAACAAACAAACAAACAAACAAAAACAAGGTGATTTATTATTGAAAACAAGGCTGAGGATAATGAGACAGTAAGAGAAGAGAAGAAATCTGGGGTGGCCCTCAGGTTCCTGGCTTCGGTGGCTAGGGAGATGGTGACATAATTTTAAGTGGGGAATCTCTTGAACTAGTTTATTGAATATTCTAGGAGGGAAGCATGGCTTTTAATTTATCCTTGAATGAAGAATGTCTCTTCTCTACTTTGTAAAATCATCTTTTCTAGTTTTTAATGATTTATGAGGAAATAAGTACCAGCCCCATCAGTTCATCAACTGAATCAACCCTGTCCCTCACCTCACATCTGAGATTGAGTAGATGAGAGGAAAAAACCAGGTCTACAACTGTGATAATATATTCAGTTTTGGGTCTGTTACTTTGAGATATCAGGAGACATCTACTAAGCAGTTAGATATACAAATCTGAAATGCAGTGAGGGGAAGAATTATAGATTGGGAGTTGTCAAAATATATATGGTAACTGAAGCCACATAAGTGCTCAAGATTACTAAAGGAGGCTATAATGAGTTTGCAGAAAAATATATTTGAATTGACAAATCTTCCCTGCTGTCACCAAACCCTTGGAGGGAGGACCCAGACTACCATAGTCACTAGTCACTGTGAAGGTTCTAGGCACTTGCCTGCTATCCCATGTACTTTCTTAGTTCTTAAAACAAAAGTTTAGTAAAACAATTACAGTGGAGAAGGGGAAAAAAAAACCCTATTGCATTCATAATAAAAATAATAATCTTTAATTTATTGAGCACTCAGTTATCTCAATCACTGTTTTATACATAGAAACTCATCTAATCCTCATAACTTCTTTAGAAGGTAAATATATTTTATGGGTAAGAAAAGTAAGGCTTAGCAAGTTTAAGTAACTTGTCATACAGCTAGTAAATGAGAGAATTAAGCTCTGTGGGTCTAGAGCTGCTTCACTTGTTTTTGGTTTGGAGGATGCTATCTGCATACCAATTTAACATGGCTTAAAACCACCACTCGTAAGGTAGCTGGTTTATTTCTTCAAGACTCAGATAAGTTGACCCTTTTTATCTACCTATTCTGTCTCCCCAAAACTACCCAAACTATACAACTTCCCTCACAATACAGAATGTATATCTCAGAGCTAGCCCACCCAAAATGTAAGAAAGCTGAAATATTTATCTATAAATTTTATTCATAAATTTTCAAATAATTGGTTAAGAGCTACTCCTGGGGTGTAGCTTGATGTAGTTGCCTGGAAATTCCAGCCTGCCTTATGTGTAGGCAAAGTGAACTCCAGTAGCCAGAGAAAGTCCTCAGGAAATGAAATACAGGTGGGCTGTAGGTAGGGTCAATGTGCTTAGAAACAGAAACAACCTAGGGTGTATGGGTGGTGCACCAAGTGCCTAAAGTGGCTTACTGCTGAACAACGTAACTCTTACTTCTTGGCTAATTTGCAGTTCATTCAATAAATAATTACAAATAATTATTAAACTCCAACTATGTACCAGGCAAGCATAGGTTACTGAAATGTAGCATCTCATAAGTCCTAAGTATCTGTAAGGTTAATAACAGAAGGAAATGGCAGAGTAAAAGATTCAGATGGTGTCAGACTAGATAGTTATACTCTCAGTAATTAATAATTCCCTTTGTTAGATGGATTTGACCTTTATGAGGTATGACTAAAGTAATTACACGTGTTTTCTTCTGTGGCTTAGAAATCAACCTAATTCCTTAGTAATATTTTGTGTGAATATATTCACCTTAACCTCCAATCTTCCAATCTCTCAAATCACATATATATGTATATATATATTATACTATATATACATATATACTATGTTCATTTAATCATTAATGTAATAAATATTTATTGAGCATTTACTATAAGTACAGTGATGCTTTGCACAGTGCAGTCCAACCTTCTTCCAGGTCTCTCTAGGGAGACCAAGTGTGTCATAAACAGCTTCAGATATATATGTATGTGTGTGCTGGTGGTGAGGTGGTTGGCAGCTTAGATCACAATGCAATACAATTAGAACATTTTTTAAAGGATTTAGAAAAAAACCTGGTATATGCCTGGACACTAACATAATATAAAAGCCCCTGAGTTAAATATTATCCTAAAGAAGATTTCAAAATACTTAGAACTGAAAGAAAATGTTTTGTTTGTCAAAATTTGTGAGGCACAGCTAAAATAGTACTTAGCAGACAATTTGTAGATTTAAATATATTTATAAGAAAATAAGAAAATCTTAAAAGGGAAACAACTTAAGCTATGCATTTAACTCAAAATTTAGATAAAGATCAATAGAATAAACCCAAGGAACATAAGAATAAAAATATTTAAATAAGGGGAGAAACAAACGAAAAAGATAATTGAAAAACAAAGCCCAAATCTTACTCTTTGGAAAAATTAATAAGATAGACCTCTGTTAAAATTGATCAAAATAAAGAGAGGATATAAAAAATGAAAGGCAGAAATAAAAAGAAGAAATAACTACAGGAACAACAATTTTTTAAAAATTATACATGGTTATTGCAGATACTTTTTAAAAAGTACAAAGTAAAGAATAGCTCAAATGGTATCACCTGGGAAAACCTATTTTGTTAATACCTTTCCAGACATCTCTATATGAACACACATGCAATTTTATACAAATGGGGCCATGCCCTTCATACTGTTGTCTAACTGGGAGACTTATATACTCTTATTTTTTTTTTTTGACATCTTTATTGGAGTATGATTGCTTTACAATGGTGTGTTAGTTTCTGCTTTATAACAAAGTGAATCAGCTATATATATATACATATAACCCCATACCTCCTCCCTCTTGCAACAAATTTTAAAAAAGAAAAAAAAGAGAGTATTAGGATTCATATCCATAAATAAATTTTAGTGGCTTAAAGAGATGTTATTATCTCTAATAAATGATGTATAGAGGTAGGATACTCTAAGTTTGCTTTATACAATGGTATAATAATAATAGCAAATATATAGGTCCTTT